ATAGATTATTTCACCACACATAAGAAAGTTCTAAATTGAACAATTCGGTATTGCACAAGAACTAAGTCATGTTTAGCATTTCATCGAACAGCATTAGCACTCACATTCGGCTCAAAAGTTTAAACTCGATAATTTGATTCACAAGTATGGATATGAGTGTCGGTGGAAATGCATTTCTAGCGAGACCCATACCCACACCCACCCTGACTCACACCTTTGATAATCCAAGAGATATATGCATTTTTATTTTGCAAAATCAGATAGTTAACAAAGTAAAATTACTTATACATATATATATATATATATTTAGGATTCGAATAGTATTGAAAAGAGAGTAATAAATGCGTTAGTATTAGTCTTTAAAAAAATTCTTTTTTTTTTCTTGATAATAAATTTAACTTTGTAGGTATCAACTGTAAATTGGAAAGATGTTGTAAAAGAAGTTCTTATATTACTTGTAATAGCACTTCGTCGAGCATGACCAACTGGACAATATATTGATTTGCTTTATCGACATTGGTATAATATTGAAGAACAAGTGTGAAAATTAAAAACAAAAATTAAAATATCATATTCGTTTATATTTTTTTTTTTTGATAGTTATCACGGCTTGCTGAAGCAGTTCGTTATGTGAATATATTTTGTTTTGGTAATCATCTAGGTCATTCTGTTTTAATTAATTGTTTTAAACATTCATTTAATGATACAAAAAAAGAGGAATCATTTGTTCTTTTAATGAAAATTTTATTTTTATTAATTAGACGCTCATTAAATTTACTGAAATGTTTATTATGTATTGTTAATACAGGTTTAGATCTAAAAGATTGTCTTTAAGTACGTGTCATGATTGTAAGAAGGTGATAGAATTTTCAGTCAAAACGGTTGATTTCTTCTTAAATTAGTCAGAAACCATCAGAAAAATCGGAAGTGCTTCAGAAACAATTGTTTTAACTAATTTTATGCCAATATTCCAATCTATGAAAAAAACTGTTAGTGTACTTCTTGCGGGATTAAAATGTGAATTAATTCAATGTATTAATCGCAATATATTACAGTTACTGTGAAAGAAAACTAATGGGCAGCTATCATACTAACTTGCGTTAGGTTTGTTTTACATTACGATTCATAATCTAAAATCATCAAAATTGTCGTCACTCTGTAGAGAAGATCTATGCGTTCGAATCATTTTATGGTTATCTATGAGAATAGTTTTATATGATCATATAAATGTCACAGTCTGAATTAAAATAGGTATTCGGGATTAACAATTTACCCCGGTCTCGGAAAATGATTTTCGCATCGTTTCATTTACTTCGATGTGCGATTTTCCTCTCATTACACTATGATTGATTTCGTGAAATTCAAGATTTTGATATTTTGATTGTAATGCCCAACTTAAACTTGTGTTTTTTTTTCGTTGAAAAATCGATATCTTTTTCACCATTAAGTCTATTTTGATACTCATACACTAATAAAACCATTTCCTATCTCGATTAGAATACTATTTTAGCTGTTTATGCTATGAAATTACATACTTAGATCGTGTTTTTATTCACAGTTAGCTAAGCCGTGCAGATGATCTATGAAAAATAGAAAATTTTATTTCTCAACAGAAGGACAAGGCTAAAGTCAGAAACTTTTGCAACATAAACGCTTTTCTTACGAGAGAACCTCTTTATTGAACCCATGACGACATCTTGGTGACACTAGCAAAATCCTACAAGGGTTCATCTTCATGATTTTTTGAATCCAGTTATGATCCTGTTACTGAATTTTCGACTTACAAGTTTTGCCTATCTTTAGATCTATTAATTCAAAGAATATCTTCAAAATGTCAGTGGAAACAAATGCTACTTTATCGAGATATTAAATTTTCAAGTAAATTCAATGTCTCAATAAAAGAAAATGACAAGAATCAGCTTTGGTGCTGTCTTCCGTTTAAACTATTTCTAACAACACCGATATATCTCTTCTCTCTCATGATTGTTATTTCTTGTATTGGTTTCGTTCTCTCACCTCGTTGCGTATGTAAATGATGCAATTGATGACGTACCGAAGACTAGAATTTCACGAAGTTAGTCATAATCATTGGGGAGTCAAATCACAAGTGTTCCTTTCTATAGAGATTCCCTGGTGTTCTGAAAGAAACAACACAACAATTTGTCAAATTATTTATTCTTTTCCAATAGATATCAAATTACTATTTTTCTACTATCAAGATTCAATATAATCATTTATTTTTTAAATATATTTTTTTCTAATTGTTTAGACTGTGCCAAATGTATCTATCCTATTAAAAAAAACTTAAATTGTTTGGATAATATGGAAACAAGAATTATCACAATTAATAATTTCTAGATCTCTTGTCAATAGTCCTAATACAAATTCAGTTCTCAACCACATGTGGAATTCATAAGTAGGATAAGAACAAAAAATAAAAATAAAGATTCTTTTAATCTTTTTTTAGAGCATCATGCAACAACAACAACAACAATGTCTGGCTCATGTTCTTGAAATCGTACAAGATTTAATAGCTTTATCCATATTACTTGCAGCAGAATCGATAACATTTATTCTTGATTTAGTTTGTTTAGCATCAAGACGTAGTTATTTAAAGTTAGATAAATGATTATTAGATAAATTACATGAACACCAAGTGAGAAAAAAGAAACAAAAACATTATTTTATAGAAGTGTTTTATTCTAACTACGTACAATTACCTTCAAAAGATGATACAAATTATTAAAAAACTCGATAATATCGAAACAATCAATATGCTTTTACACGGGTGACCTTCAATTAGCATTATCATTAATAAAAAATCTAGGTTTAATACAAGAAATACAAACAATGTCAACAGCGAACACATCCATTTATACCATCACCAACCAACTGACTTTCATTATCAACTGAACTTTTTTAATTACAAAGACGTCGTTATATATTTTCTTTCAAATTGTCGTATATACACTTGGATCAATTGATTATTGCCACAATGTAGAAAGAATGCTATCGGATGGAATAGAGATTATATATGAGTCGTGTAAAACGTAAACTTTTGTCATAGCTATAGCTTAGTGTAGGATCGCCGAAAATATCTGAAGATTTCACAATAAACTATTCTCGATGAGTCCATTCTCTATGGAAAGTTTCAATTTAAAATTCGAAAATGAGTTTTCGTGATATCTCTGAGGGAGACCCTAAGTAAAGGGCACGAACATTTTTCTGTGTGTTCATAGTCCATTAAGGTTCACATGAAGCACATGGCTTCGACTCAAAAGTGATTAATCAATTGCGGAGCCTTCCTCGTCAGCAATGACAACTGTAATTTGTCAAGAATTATCTTTTGGTGTCTTATCATCAATTTTAACTATATCAGATGGGTCGGTTCTTAACATTGATATTCAAAAGTTGAGAAGATGAAAAAGAAAAGAATAAATAGAAAATAAGAATTGATCAACGTAAGAAAAATAAAGTTTTTATTTTTCTGTTTTCTCTTGTTACTGTCTTTGCTAGTGTTGAAATAATAATGATTCATCAATAGTGAAAAAATGTAAAGATTCAACAATACCAAGAGAACAAGTAAGAGTCAATAAAATACTTGTTTTCATAATAGATTAAGAAATTTATTTGATGAATATACATTTTATCCTCAATGTCCTGATAGAGAATTAATTTTAACAGCACAACTATTTGGTGCATTTTTTGAACGTTGTTTATTTCAAAATCAAATTTCTTATTGCAGCATTTCGAGTTATAGTTGAAGGATTAAGAACCCAGTTTGAACTAATCTTTGGAATTTTTCTCTGTGGCGACACTTAATCGATGTAAAACAAGGTGAGATGTTTTTTGTAGATTAAATAAGATTATATTCTAAGAAATGTCATATATCAGATGTAGGGATGAATAAAAACCTCTATTTTAACTTCCCATTAAATAGTCTTCTATCAAAATGTCAACACTAGTAGGTGAAAATTTCGTCGTTTAACTAACTTGTTTTATGAATATTTTGTACATAATCGAATAATCAGTATAATGGTCAAAATCCTTGAAACCACCCTTATTGACACAAATTCTTTTAGAATAACGTTCTAAATGGATAGATAGTTCATCTACAATAAGATTGAAAAAATAAACTAAAAGAGTTTATCCTCATACCTTGTAATTCTTGAGTTGTAGTCGTTTTATTGGATTTTTATCTATAGATAGTTCTTATGACCATTATATTATATTAGAACTTTTAGTTCAAAAGAGTTTTTTCTTCTTGAGATATTGAATATCTAAAAAGCACTCATGTGTCACAATATCTCAAGATATATGCACCATAATCTACAAACTGATATATATTTAATTCAAAACGATACGTGATACTTGATGATCTTTCTTCATTCAACCTACACATACTTAACGAAATTTATTTAGAAATTCCATCTGCCATAGACGATTATCTTGATTATAATTCTAAATCAATCCACATTCACATACTTATGTTTTCAAGAATGAATGGTATACCATCGATGACAACAACTTAGTAACAACTATTTAACTCTATTGGAGAAGACACTACTACACAAAAAGGCGTATGCTTATGAAAAGAAAGAAAACTAAACTCAAATTTTCATATTCCATTTCTTTTCCTTTTTTAGACATCATCAATACAAAATACAAATACTCGTACATTAATCAATGACCTAACTTATAATCCTGTTCGAATAAAACAATCACCTGTACATATTAATGATAAAATTGCATTTATATGTAATAACTTATCATTATCGAATCTTTGTCAAAAGGTTTTATTTTTCAAAACAAAAAGCAATTTATATTTACGTTTGTGCTATTTTAGGCGCAAGAATTAAAAGATTTATTAAATAACGATGAACAATTATGGAAATGAATTGCATAATATTTAGCTATAAAGCGAGTTTCTTATTGATACAGTTTTAAATGAAACACATTGAAATATGAAATTCTTACTATGATTTGTACGAAACATACAGTGTTTGAGTGCATTAAGTTTACCCAGCGGGAGACAAATAGCATAATAGTCAAGACATCGCACACTTTGTGAGATGTTCTCGATCTCTACACATTTCAAAATAGACAAGAAGTTATTGCTACTTGAATAACTCGCTAATGGTAAGAGATATTGAAAAATAGCTTCAATCAACTTTTAGCCAAGTTCGTGGCACATTGAATTCATAGTATTTAAATATGTATTCGATAGAGAAAATTATACACTTTCGAGCTATGGAAGCTTGTACTGTTCAAGAATTATAATGGTTTGTCAAAGACCTTCGATTTCAGCCATTTGACTCTGGATTAGTCAAAAGATAGATCTATAAATGATTAATTGGCCATGTTGAATCTATTAGTGATATTAGTTTTCAGTTTCAACAACGATCCACCATAATTATATCCAGATTTTTCAATTTCGGCTTTTCTCACTGTATAGCGTCAACAGCTAATGTTTTGAAAACCTGTATATTATAATGGTGGTAGATTGTTTTCGATTCAGCATGGTCAATTACTGCTCTCTAGGCCTAGTTGTTGAGTTAAGTTTAGGTAGTTCGAAATTGAACAATTTTCTCTATGGAATATATATTTTAAAATTGTGAATTCACTACTTGAATCTCTAGTTTTCTAAAGACTCACTTAAAAGTTCTTTAGGAATTCGATTAGAGAAAACTTGTCTGCTGTAGATCGATATGCCACAAACGTCTCACCCCACTTTCTATTTTGAAACGCGTAGCAGAAATCAAGAAATATTCAACAAACTGTTTGCGTAAAATCTATAAAATAAAATTATGCTTTTTTTAGAATTTCGAATATCAAATCTTTAATCATTGAAGTTTGTTGTAAACAATTAGAACTTCAATTAAACGTAAGAAACGTATGTACTTTGTATTGATCTAATCAACTGTTCTGATACTTTTCGAACCCGAAATCAATTCTATAATCATATAATGGACACATGCAATAGAACTCACATTATGTTTTTCAAAGAAAAATATAGTCAATGTAAGTTTTGAGTCGAATTTTTGTGGTTTCCTCTCATCGTTCATAGCAACCAAGAACAACAGACATATGTAAGACGCCAAGGATGATGAATAGCCATGTATTGATTTGCCATAGTCGTCAAATGATCAAGTTATAACTTTGGGAAAAAACCAATATTAATGTGTTTCTAATTTTATCGTGATATACATATATATAAGTGTGTTGAAATCTGCTATAGATATACTGAATATGCACAACAAGCTTCAGAAACTTCTAGTTCATCACATATTAATTAATAAAGATTATTTTGATAAAATTGCAAAACAATTATCAGATTCTGATTCTCAAGTTTCATCTATACCTCCTGTTATTCCATTGTTTCAACCATCATCATCAACAGTAATAACTATTTCTGAACCATAATTTGGATTATCAGATTTTAAACTATCTACATTTCAATCATTAAGTTCTATGCTTCAAATTAATTCAAATATGGCACTTTTTCGATATCATCTACGTTTTCCAAGCTGCAAATGAAATTGTAACTTCAAATATTGAATTATGTTATTGTCTTTTACAACGAATAACAATAAGTCATACAATATAATTAGTTGATCAATGTTTAGTAAGTGATTTTAAATTCTGATAACGCTGTAGAGTTGAAGGACGACAATTCCCAATGGGAAATAATATTAATGAAGAAAGATTACCGAAACAAATTCATTTACATCATGGACCATTTCCACTACATCAACTTTTTGCCTATACATACGACGTAGATAGTATTTTCTAATGAAAGCCCCAAAAAGCGTTTGAGTTTTCATTGAGACTGAACGAAGCTATTGAATATTTAATACATCTATTAGTCAGAGGATCCCGGCACAAGACCCGATATTTTCGAAAACTTTTGCAAACTTTGCCTGTTCGAAATACAAACTTTTCAAAAATACTTTTATATTATTTACTATGCTTCGGAAGGCGTCTATTTTTGAAAATTTTAGAGCTTGAAGATATGAATGTTACAAACTCTAAAAAGCTTCATACAAGCTATTCTATATAGGCTCTTAAACTACAGATAGTTTCAAGACGCGTTTCAAAAACACGACTTTGCGAAACTCTGACGTCCTATGAAGGGACCCATCTAGCAAATAGACATATTCAATAGCTCCATAAAGTTTCAATAGGATATATCTATGGAGGTGTGGGTTTAAATAGAAACAAGATTATAACCGACACCATCCCACGGGTACACAGATCCACATCCTAATTTATCCTCATATTCTTGTTGTTCTGATGAAGACTTTTCTTCGATTTGTTTTCCGACTAATTGCCATACACAATCATAGGATTTTTCATTTAAATCATTGATTGTTAATAAATCACGTAAAGACATTCCGTATGATATATAAATATAATTTTTAAACTTATTTTTAGAAGAAACAAAAAAGTTTAGAGATGAAAAATGTCTTCTGCTTACTCAACAAGTGATGTACGCGTATCTGAATCACGACAAATAATCATAAAATAGTTTGATTCTTTTGAGACATTAACAGATTTTATCCGATGTACTCCTGGACAATTTTTATCACATAGTAAATCATGAATACTGCGCCATTCGACATCCTATTAAATAAAAGAAAATATATCTTGATAGTTTATTTTGATTAAGACAAATCCTTACATCAATTTCTCTTTTGTTTATTTTGAATTTCATATCTTTAGATTCAACCGGGACAATGAAATAATAATGTTCGATAATCGAATTATCGACAACATTTAATACCTTTTTTATTATAGGATCACAAATTATTATTTTATTATATATATCATAGTAATTTAAACCAAGTTCTTCCCATGGCTATAACAATGATAAGAACTATATTAAAAATGAAAATGATAATCTTTTTTATTTATCTCACGAGCTGCACATTCTCAGATAGTTTCACCAAATTCTATTTTCCCTTTAGGAAATCCGTATTGAGAACAATTGTTTTTATTATATCTTGTCAGAAGAACCTACATACAAATAGATATTAATAATTGAAAATAGATTTAAAAACCAACAGACTTGTATTTCACCCGATTTTTCACGAAAAAGTAAAATGATGCCAGCTCGAGGACATTTTTCACGATCTTTAAGCCATATATTTCAGATGTTTTTAGCAATTTTATTATCATTAGCTCTGGATTCTATCCAATCTTGAAAATATAAACATAAAAACATAAAGTAAAGAAGGAATTTCTTTTTTTTATATGAATATTTACCACCATAATCTTTGTTCCTTGATGTTTTGTTTTTTAATTCATTCCCATTATGTTTTCATCGAAATTTATTTAATTTTTTCTAAAATTTCTAAATTATTCACATATAAAAAGTAATTATAATGAAATTTTAAAATATAAGAATCTTACTTGAAATAGCATATTGTTTCATGTCTTCTGCTAGCTTGTCTCTTTTCTCTTCAAATGTCAGATTTGTATCATTATTTGGTGTGCAATGTTTTTTATAAAGTCATTTATTTATTTTAGGTAGTAATTGAAGTATTTTTTTGTATTCTTCTTTACAGTCATTCGTTTGTAAGCAAAGATAATCTGAAACCCGTCTATAAATTAATATAAAATATGAAAATTTTATAAATTACTTTCAATTACTTTTTAACCATGGTTTTCAATATTTCTGACGGTTGATATTTATTATTTTCATTAAAAGACATCAGTTGGAGTTATCTGAAAAGAATAGTTACAATAAAAAAAGTGCATTCATATAGAAATCCGTTTTATGTGACGTCAAGGACACTTACTAATTTGTGCTGAGAAGTAGTGTATAAGAGTGAACAAGTGTATGATGCTATTGTCAATATATACTTGCACGAAATTGCGTAAGTACATGACTAGTGACGATATTTTTCAATCCATATTATACATATGGTTCTATGTGAATTTTTATCTTCCTCGATTATGTTTATTGAAAAAAAAGGAAGACATGTTTTTTGAGTCGCCGTTAAAAAGTAAGACAGCCATATTATATTTTTTGAATTGAATGCTCTCTTTTTTTTTATTAATAGAAATTCATTACAATTTACTAAAATGGATTCTACAGCAACATCTTTTTTTATATAGTTTTATAGAATGCTTCAAAATAGAAAAGATCAAAAGTGAAGTAAGACGAATAGTTTTTTATTACTAATTATTCTTCGAAATGAAAACAATGAATTATTTTTTATTTATTTCTCTTTTCTTTTCTTGGTATGTGTAGAAAAAAGAAGAGTTGGAATCTACAAGAAAAAAAACAACTTTGTTAATTGATAATGATCTCATATTATATAGGAATTCAAAGGAAAGTAGTTATATATTTTCATTTACTTTTTATGTTTAAACATCATAAGTTTAGCTTATCTATTCAAGTTAATCAAGGAGTTGTGAGAATTCATATAGACAAGATACAACTAATCGATCATTTTACAGCAAATGTTCGACGTAGTTATTATGATATTTAATATGAATTTTTATTCTTTTTAAACTTACTGCTGAGATAAATTTTTAAAACTAACACGAGGTATTGAATTCAATTCTTTGGTTTTTCTTCTGTAGATACACTTGGTCATGACATCTTCAAAAATGTAGAAAAGTTAAACCATGATACACAACTGTAATATGTTATCGTCACTAGCTTTTATATGTGAATTTACTATTACAATATTGAATCTAGCCATAATCAAAATTATAGTAGGAGAAAGAAAAAAAATCTTTCACGTATTGTTCAGACATAATGATATCAAAACCAACAATGCCTGTCATTCGTTTTACAGTAGCTAAATCATAACTTATCATAAAGTGTCTTCGGTAGCAGCTCTTGATTTTATCAGTAACTTTAATTAGTGAGTAAAACCAAAGATT